ATTTTTTAGTTTGGCCCTTTTCCGGGGCTTTTCGGTTTGGGGGGCAAAGGCCCTTGGGGACGTTTGCCCCCCCCATGGGGGGTTGTTTTGGGGGGGAAAAGAAAACCCGTTCCACCTTTTTTTGAATCCTTGGGTAAAACCCCAGGTGGGTTTTCGGGGGGGTGGGGTTTTTTTTGGGGGGGGGGTTAGGCTTTGCCGGGTTCCCCAATACCCCCCCTTTTTTCCCCCCCCCTTCGGAAACTTTTTCCCCTTCCCCCCCTTCTTCCGGGGGAAGGGAACAACAGCAGGCGGGGCCCCCCCCTCCTTGGGCCCCGGGGGGAGTTCGAAAAGCCCCGACAAACGCCCCCCCCGCTTTCGCTCCCCCCGGGGGGGCCATGGTTGGGGGGGGGGGGGGCGTACCTTCCCACGGGACCCCGACCCGCTCGTCGGCCTTGCTCCGACCGAGGGCCTCCCCCTACAAGGACAAGAGCGCGTCGACTGCGTCGCCCTCGGTAGTGACTGACCAGGCTGGTCGATCACCGGCTGTCCCTGGGGATCGGCTGAGCGGGCAGCTGGCCAGGTTGAGTACGGCTGAAGCAGGGGGGCGGCGGGAGGGGCCCGTGGGGGGGGCAGCGGCCCGGAGGGACACGTTTCAGAGCTCGAGGGCGTTGTCGACGACGGAGTCAAAGATGGGGCTGGCGGTTCCGACAAGGCCGGTGCTTCGCCGTGTGTCTTCGGCCGTGCTTGCGGGCGAAGCGGCCGCAGGCAGGAATGGTGGCGGTGGCGGTGGCGGCGGTAGTGCCATGATGGAGCAGAGGTAAGGTGATGCAGTGTGTTGGGGGAGAGGACACATGGAGTTTATTTGTGCTGATGTGCATACCAGGGCCCAACCTACCCACCTACTAACGAATCCACTTTATTTCTTTTATTCTTTTTTGCTGGTACTATTTTGAGGCGGGTTGCGGTCGAGTGTGGAAGTGTTGCTGGTTGCACGGTGAAAGTACATATCTGGTGAGAATACGAGACTTTAAACATTTTCTTGTTAAAACATGGACCAACGTTGAGCCATTGTTGACCCTGGTCACCCCGGACTACAGTCACCACCACCGCCCCCAGTGACACTCACCCCTGACACAATTGGCGGGACGGCAATTATTTTTTTCGCCAGGCGGCTGGTGTCGCCTTCAGCGGCCGCGTGCAATGACGGGCAGCAGAGGTCGTCGGCAGTGGCACTCGAGGCGGTGGCTACGTTGCGGCCGGCGTTGACGCAGGCCTTTACGCAGCAGGACCTAGCGGAGAGGGAGGCGAGAACAGCAGCCTGTGCCAAGTTGCCCCGAGGGGACGGCAGGATGACGGCTGCGGCAGCGAGGGTTGACGACAAGGGTACGAGAGACCCTTGGGTATGGGAGGCATCGCCTCGGCCGCTGCCGCCTCCGGAACCGCGACCTGGTCCAACAGAGACGCCAGCGGTGGTAGTCGCCTGTGAGGGAGAAGAGGGTGTTGGCAATGTCACGGCGCTGGTGAGTCGCGAGAGCAAGCCAGAAAGGGGGTGCAGGAAGAGTGTTCTCGAGGAGGAAGGAGGGGGCTCCGTTCCGATGCCGGCGATGTCCGTGGCGGAGAAACTTAAACAGGCCCGACAAATGCCGGAGGCGACGGGGACGTTTCTTCCAACGCAGCGGGGGCGTACCGCTACAGGAGGGGCACCAGCTGTTGCAAAGGAGGCAGAACTGGTCTTGACAGCAACAGCAGCTGCAGATGCAACAGCAGCAGTCGAAATATCAGCAGAGAAGACCCCGGCAAAGTCGGGCCAAGTGAAGCAGGAGACGGCGAAGTCGAGTGAGGTTGACTCGAAGGTAGAGCACAAATCGTCCATGTTTTCACGGTTTTCTTCCGTATTTTCGCGGAGACGCCATCCCCCCACCGTGGCAGAGAACGACGGAACGGGACCAGGGGGTGAGGCCCCAGCCGTTCCTGTTGCCACTGTGAAGGAAAGCAGGCGGGGCGAGGAGCCGGCGCCGCCGGCGCGAGAGTCTAATGTCGAGGCGAAAGAGCAACCACCGGTACTAGCGACAAGCGCGAAAGCAGAAGCGACGAGAGAGCCGAGTGAGGACCGACAACCTGCTTCTCCTGCGACGGGGAGACGCAAGCCCGGGGAGGAAGGTCCGCCTTCGGGGGGGGGCTGCGGCGAGGAGACGACAGTGTTCGTTCCGCCGCCTGACGAAGGAGAACGACCGGAGACGGCGGCGACAGCCACTGCTGCCGATCTCCCTTTTTCCGGCTCCAACTCGCCGGCACCCTCTTCCAAGTCCTCTCCGCTGTCCGCCGAGAGGGCGGACGCACCACAAGACAGCGGCCCGATGGGGTCTGGTATCCAGGTTGGACAAGTGGCGGCAAGTCCCGGTCGGGAGCAACCGGAGCTGACGCCTCCGCGACACCGCTCTCGCTTCTCTTCGCCGCCTGCCATTATCACGGACCCCGCGCGAAAGAACGGACCGATTGGCTTGACAAGCAATGGGTCAAAGGAGGTGATGGCGAGCCCCGACCCGCCGCGGTCTGCATTGACCCCTCCGGGATATCGCTGCCGCCTAGCGGCCAAGCCCGTGGCGGGGCGGGTGGTCTCTCCTCTGCCGCAAGGGGCATCTCCGCAGACAGGCGTGGAGGAGAGAAAGGCGACAATGCCCCCGCGCCGTGCGGGGCTGACCCCCCCCGGGTACCGTTCCCGCTCGTATTCCTCTTCGCCGTCTGCCAGGAGGAGAGCGTCTTCCCCGGGCCAAGGGTCGATTGCGATGGCAGGCGAAGAAGGGGCCAGGGAGCCGAGCTCGTCGGCGAGGCCGCGTCGTACGGGGCTGACCCCTCCAGGCTACCGCTCCCGTCCCTCTCCACCGCTGGCCGGGAGGGTGGACTCGCGGCGGCGCGAGAGCGCGCCGGCCGTGTCGCCCGGCGTGAGGTCTGTTCTCGGCGCCTCGGACGCAGGGGGACACGTGACGCCTGGCCGCGACAAGGCCAAGGCTCCCGCTTTCGAGCAGCGGACGGGAATCCTGGAAGGTACTCCGACGCGACGTCGGGCTTATAGTTCGCCGGGACTGTACAGCCCCGGGAAGGGACTGCGCAGCCCCGGGAAGATGCGGCAGGAGAGGCTTGGAGGCGGCGATGGTGTCGGAGAGGAAGCGGAGAAGGTGGTGGAGAGGGAGACAAGCCCCGGGTCTTTGCCGGAACCCTCGAGCCCAACACAGCAGCAGCCGGAACGGCCTGTCGGAGATAAGGAGGTGCGCAAGAGGGACGACAGTTGCTCACCGGTGGCGAGCGGCGACGGCAACCAGCAGGGCGGTGGTGCCCTGCAACGATCAAGCCCCCGCGTTGTCGATGCCCGCCCGACGAATTCAAGACCGACGGGGGGCGTCGGGTTCCCCGGAGTTTCCAGTCCCACGGATCAGCACCAGCAAACGCAGGATGCCTCATGCGTGCCAATGACCGGCGATGATAGCCCGCGCAAGGCCTTTTCGTCGAGGTGCTCCAGCACCTGCACTGTTGTCGACGCCCAAGCGACCGAGTCGCCAGCCACGGGGACGGTAGAGTCGCCAGGAGCTTCTTCCAGCCCCGAACCGCAAAGTCACCAACATCAGGGTTCCGGGGTTGAAACTGCTGCTGCTGCTGCTGCTGCTGCTGCTGCTGCTGCTGCTGCTGCTCCTTCTGACGTTGGACAAGGCGGGGAGCAGGAGCAAGAGGCACCGCAGAGTTGCAACGACACTGCGTGCTCGCCGCTAGCTCGCGCCTTTGCGTCGCCCGTGCACGACGGTGTGCCCGCGTGCACCACCTCCCGATTGGTCGCGGCCTCTACACCGCGAATCGCCGGTTGTTCGGCAAGCGGAACTGCCGTGGACGACTCTGGTCATGGTGTTGACGGTCGGGGTGGTAGCAGCTGTGGTGACGCCGGTGCTGCTGCTGCTGCGCCCGTGTCTGCGTCGGAAAATATTGCGGAGGCCCAGGCACCGCCCAAGGAAAATGAGCAGAACCTTCCGGAGGTGTCGCAGACACCGCCAATGGCAGGCGAGGGAGTGAAAAAAGAGGAGAAGGAGCCGGAGGCGGTTCAGGCACCGCCAAAGGCGGACGAGGGGAAGGGAGAGGAGGAGCTTCCCGAGACATTCCCTTGCAGCCCGAACTTTGCCGCCGGTTTCGTCGCGGGCAGGCGAAAGCGGAGGGCCGTTTCTGGCGTCCCGGTGGTCACAGCGGCGGCGGCGGCATTGTCGCCTGTGGTGAGTGCGGAAAGGAGGAGAGCTTCTTCGGGAAGCAAAGCACCGGAGAGCTCGGAGCAGCAGGAGAGCGGGCTGGGGGAGAGCTCGGGTGCTGAGAGCTCGGGCGATGAGTCCGGGTCGAGCTGGGAGACATGTTCGAGTAGCGAGGAGGAGGAGGAGGGGGGGTGTGGGGTGGTGGTGGAGGAGGAGGGGGAGGAGGGAGAAGGATGGGGGCGGCTGTCTTACCTCGACGAAATGTGAGTGGTTTTGTAGATGCCAGGAGGGAGCGGCCTTGGTGCACGCGTTGTGCCGTGCTCTTCCTCTGGGAGATTGGTGCAGACCCACAGAAACACCGCGTTACCCACATACCGGCGGACAACACACGGCAGTAGTCATTGTTTGATACTCCAATTGGTCCATTAATCTGTTGGTGCACAGTTGGTCGGCAGGTACTCTGTTCCGCTGATTTTGTTGCTTCCGGAAGGATGTTCGCGTCTTGACAACCACTCTCTGGCGGGCGTAAAACGACACCAATGTCGCTTCTCAAGCAGAGTTGCCCGGTCTTGAGGCTAGCTATGAGAACTAACCTGCTTGTTGCCGTTGCTTCAATACTCTTGGGATATCGGCTGCACGTCCAGTAGGCTGGCTTGCCGCAGACCCCATCAAAGATTTTGCCATATGCGCACTCCATGTAACAAACTTGATGCGAACCTCCTACAATATCCACATTTTTCCCTTACTGCCCACCCCCGATGTACAACCCGAACGTATTATCGTAACCTATGGTGTTCATCAGCGACGAGCACCCCTACGGCGGCGTTGTTGTCATCGACCCGGACCTTGTGCGTTCCGGAGGGTCTAGCAACGGGGGCGGTTCCGCGCGGTCTTCTATTCCACGGTCTTCCGTGGACGACGAGGTAACAAGAATGCAACAAACGCCAATAAGAAAAACGATGGCGTGGCAGTCATAGAGCCGGCACAAAGGCTTCTGTCCAAGGCTAGTGGATCACACGCGAGGGAGACGAGACAGAGGCTGTCCTTGCCGTCCAGGAGGGCTGAAACGGATAGAAGCTGTCATCCCGCTGCGGTTACTGGGACGGGAATTATTGTTGCATAGGGTAGGCGCCGTGCGGATAGTTTTCGGTCACGACTGCAACACGACAAGCCGCATTCCAACCGGTGCATGCATGCGGAACTGCTTAATACGAGTCACCTTGTTTGTTTGGATGGTGTTTCGTGTGTGTTTTAACTTTGAATCCGTTGTCCCTCTCCAAAGGCTCGCTCCGGCGGGCGTCGGTCGTGGACCGCAAGCCCACCTACGGCGGAGATGTCCACACAGACCACCCAAGGGGAGGAAGGTGTTGCCCACGTCCTGGTGCAGGCGGGAGACGGGAAGCTGCTGTCCGAGGCGGAGTTGCGGGAGGAGTACACCCAGCGAGAGCTAAGGGTGAGAGAGAGGGAGGGGGGGGTGCTACTCGCTCGAAAGTACGGTTTGTTGGGCCGCTGGACTCGTGTTGAACACTTGAGGGACGAAGGGGCGAGATGGGTGCGATCGCCCTGCTCATGTAGTGTCATGCTGAATTTGAAGCTGCAGCCCTCGCATCTATTTCAGTACCGACTTCTTGCACTCTTGCGGTTTCTGCATGAGCGGGCTGGTATTTGTTTCGTTTTGATGTGTTTTTCGGTTGTGATTTTTTGTCGTTGCTGCCGCTGTTGCTGCATTTGCTGCTCCAGCAAAGGTCGAACATGATGTGGACCACAAACCTCTATCGCGCTGACACGATGCCCACGAAAAACCAACCGTACGCCTACGTCTGTTCCTGCCCTGGCACCTTCCGTTGCTCGTAACGTGCCGGTGCGGACGGCAAACCTCTATCGCGCTGACACGATGCCCACGAAAAACCAACCGTACGCTTACGTCTGTTCCTACCCTGGCACCTTCCGTTGCTCGTAACGTGCCGCTGCTGCTGCTGTTATCGTAGGAGAGGTTGGAGATGATGAACCACGACCTCCTCGCCGAGGTGTTTCACCGGGAGATCGTCAAGCAGGAGGAGGCGCAGAAGCGCCGGAAGCAACTGGAGGCCCACGAGGCAGAGGTCCTGGCTCTAAGGGACGAGCTCCATGCCGTCCAGATGAGCCACAACAACGAGAAAATCAAGATGCGCTGGGAGCACGCCGACGAGGTAAGAGGAGGTGGCCTCTTTTTTTTTGTTACTTGCGTTTTCGTTGCTATTTTTGCTTGCGTCCTTCATCTTGCAGCTTTTGTATTTTTTGGTGGTGACTTGGACTGCGCTTGCGCGATGTTTGCTGGGTAGTTGCTCCCCGCGGCCTTTCGCTGACTGTTCATTTTTCTGCTCTTAATTTTCAGGAATAGTCCGCACGTGTGTGTCGTGTGTTGACATACGTGTGCTACGAGAGGAGCGGAGAATCACACGCATCCATGCTCGCTGTGGCGGGCGCATCACGGAAAATGACCACGAGGTCGACTGGCGTCTGTCGCCCCCCCCCCCCCCCCTTCCCTCTCCCGCCCTATTTGTTTCTGCATTGCACCCAAAGCATGCACGTAGCCGCGCATGTTTTTGGTATACCTCTACTCTTGCCTGACCCTCCCGTATGTATCCGGAAGGTTTTTTTTCGAGCGCCTGTAGTTTTTGGAAATATCTATCTTTATGTGCTCTCGCTGCCTGCTCTCTGCTTTGGGACTAACAGCTGGCGAGAGTCGAGGCGGAAGGGGGCGACGTGGTTGGCATGAGGCAAGAGCTCGAGGAAGAGAGAAGACTGTAAGTAAACCAACCCCTCGTTGGGTTGTACAAGTAGGGTACGGGGTGTGGGGTCAGGGCTAACGGGTCGGATACGAAGCCCTCCTCTCCTCTCTATTTGACATCCTTGCGAAGGGGATCCTGGTGGCCACAGGACGCGGCGGCAGGCATCCCTGTTCATTTACTTGGAAACGATTTTATCGTGGGGCTTGAGACGTGCACTGCTTAGTTGGCGTGGTTCGGTAATTGTTGTGAATAAGAAATCGAAAATAAAATGCTTCGATGAGACGGGAGGAATGTGTCACGTTCCATTGGTTGTGTTCGGAAGATCCTGCTTCTGGTTCCATCCCACAAAAAAACAAAAAATATGGTGTGCAAGAAAAACGATTAAAACCGACACACGCACGGGAATTTCCACGAAAATCAAGAAACTGATTATGAAAGGTTTGAGTTTCCACGCCCCGAGTTGGTGAAACATTTCTATGCATACCAGCGAATCAATAAGAATTTGACGAGTCTGCCTTGCTGCAGATGACATGGGAGAATCCCAATTTCTGGATAGCGCCAGCCCGCGAGCGCAGGCAGTTAGGCCGACAGGACCGTGTGACGCTCATTTTGAGCTAATTATCCTTATCGAGGAGAGATGTTTGTAACTTTTAGCTTCGGAAAGCAGCATCGTATTTAGTGAACAACAGAAGAGGCGAATCAGCGCGAGCACTGAGCACCACATTGGCAACAAAACACGCGTGGAAAATACCACATTGGTTGTAGGAGGACACTATTGTGGAATGCTTCTGCTAGCCAGAGCTATTATTTGTCAACTGAGTTGGCAAACTAAGTGGCCTACACCCTTCAACGTGCAACGCCGACGCTTGCACCGACGACGGACGTGTGCAGGCGCGAGGAAGACGAAAAGCGCCACGAGGCCGCGCTGCAGAAGGAGCGCCAGCACCGGAGAGAGTGGGAAGCGCGGAGCGACGAGCACGCCCGGGATAAGCGGGAGCAGGCGAAGCAGCACCGGGAGGAGATGAGGCGACAGGTCGCGGCGGAGAGAAAGAGGGCGGAGGGGGAGGCGAGGAAGAAGCTGGAAGCTCGGCATAAGGAGGCCCAGCAGAAGGCGGAGGAGGTAAGGAGCAAGCGAATCGTAGCGGAAATGGGTAATGGTGCACGCATACGGAAACGTTGATGTGTGAGTGTCGTTTTTGATTTTTTTTTTTTCGTCATGGATTGACATGTGGTCTGGTTGAGTGTTGCTGTCTTCGGGTTAAGTCGTTCTGACCTCTCCGTGCACTTCTTCTTTGTGCATTTTTTTTTCCGACGAGAAAGGCGGCCATGAAGGCTTGAAGTGAAGGTGGAAGAGATTGGAAAGCAGATCGATAGCACTAAACATGGACATATGTATCCAATTATTATTGAGTGCGTGAGTGAGTAAATTTCGGTGTCGCGTTTTTACGTTTTAACATTCCGGTCTCTTCTTGTTCGTGGGCCTTCCTTTTTCTGCGTGTGTGCTGATAATCAGTTATCCGTGCGCGCTTTTACGCACTGTTGTATCACCACGACACGCGTGTCCAGGTGGTGAAGATGCAGCTCAAGATGATCAAGGAGATGGACCAAGAGAACGACGAGCTGAGGGAGGAGAACGCCGAGCTGAGGGAGAAGCTCGGCATCGAGGACGGTGACGATGACGAAGAGGAGGAAGAGGAGGGGACCGAGGCGGGATGACGTTGCGAAGGCACCGGTCCCTGCTGCGAGAAATGCTGTCAACAGGCATCATCGAAGAAGGGGAGGAGGACTTTGTCCACCCGCGAGAGTGCGCGCGTTCCGGAAAATGGATTTTCTTACCTTTATGTTCTATGTGTTTTTGTGGTATTACTTTCGCCTTTGCACCTTTGTCCTTTTCAGGCGTGTTTTTGGGGGTGGACGGGACTGCCAAACCTATTTGGGGAGACGGGCTCCGCGGAATATGTGTGTATCCTTGGATGGATGGGTTATTGTTGGTGTCAAGAGAATAAGCCGGGTTCGAAGCATGACATGTCCGCAGGGGGTAAGAAATCGTGTACTCTTGATGGGCATTGAGCAAAGTCTAGCCTTGTCGCCGCGGGCCAGGACCTTGTCGGGCTGATGGAGAGATGAGACTACAGGCTACCCCCGGGGGGGGGGGGTGTAAGAGGAGAGATGCAGCGATATCCAGAAAGACAGAGCAATTAGTTTGATGCCTCTTGTAGGATCGGATGACGGCGGGTTTAAGACTTGATAGATGCCGCGTTACAGCTGATATTGATGGGTGTTGTCGGAGGCTTTGCGCACGAGGGGGTGCTCAATCTCGCCAAGTGTACAAGGAAGAAAAAACCACAGGATTTTATTTTGTGGGTCTTGCGGTGTCCGAGCGTTTCATGCTGTTGGTGTGCCCGCATCCGTTGGACGGTTGAGGTAGCACACGCCAGAACAACCATTTCGCTCGCTTGACACGGAGAGATGGGAAAGGTCAGCAAAGAAAACGACCGCATATAGTTTTTTTTTTGCCCGTACGCCTTTCAATGTCTTGCAGTCTAGCGACCTTTGGTTTTGCTACCACCTTTGCTACGCGTTCGTTTGGTGTGTTTCACTGTG